TAACTATAAAGTTGCTACAGTTATGAATCATAATGTAAATATCTGATATGCAGGATGGTCTTAGGTGACCTCTGTGAAAGGGTCATTCGACCGCCAGATGAGTTGCGACCCGCAGGTTGAGAACCCGCTGCTTTAAGGAAAAAATCCGTTTCTCTGAGACAAGGATCAGTTCACAAGCATTTTATTAGTCAACGGCCATCAGCTCGCTCATCCCAGAGAAAACACTGCTGCCAAGAGCTTCCTGACAGCCGGGCGCCCCCTGCCCCGCTCCCCTCCCTCTCCCGCCATGCTGTGGTCAGGAGCTGGGCCACGGGGCATCAGCTGGCTCCCTCCTCCTGGAAGTGCTTGTGACAGGCCGCCAGGAGCTCCGTCACCAGCAGGAGGAACTCCGGGAAGCTCACTGTGGCGTCCTCGTTGCTGTCCAGGCTCCTGAACACCTTCTCCATGGCGTCGTCCTGGTCCTCCCCGCTCTAGAGGAGAGAGGGGGCAGGTCAGCGAGGTGCCCACAGAGGCATGGCCTTGGGCAAGCACCGCGCTGGGCGGAGGGAAGGAGACCACGCTGTGCCAGGCCCGCTGGGTGTGCAGACACCGCACCTGGGAGGGTGGGCTCGGCTCTGGCGGAGTGGGGGTGGTGGTGGTGCCCAACGCATTTGAGGATTGTCTTTGTTTTTTCTGAAATATATTTATATTGATTTCAGAGAGGAAGGGAGGGGAGAGGGAGATAGAAACATCACTGATGAGAGAGAATCATGGATCGCTGCCTCCTGCACACCCCACATTGGCGATCGAGCCTGCACCCCGGGCAGGTGCCCTGACTGGGAATTGAACCGTGACCTCTTGGTTCATAGGTTGGCGCTCAACCACGGAGCCACGTGGCCGGGCGAGAAGTGGCCTTAGGACAGTGGTTGGCAAACTGCGGCCCCTTGAGTGTGGCTCTTCCACAAAATACCACGTGTGGGTGAGCACGTACAGTGCGATTGAAACTTCGTGGCCACACTCAAGGGGCCAAAGAGCCTCATGTGGCTCGCGAGCTGCAGTTTGCCGACCACTGCCTTAGGACTGTGTAATGCACTTGACCGTGAACCACACCCACTCGCTGCTCTGTCCTCGGCACTGCGAGCTCTGTGGGTGCTGCCTATGAAAACCCCCACCTCATATCTACTGAACACCATCCCGCGCGGCCATCACGCTGGGCCCCTATCTAGACCCCCAGTCCTCAATCCACAGGCAGCGAAGGTGTGGCACCAGTTACAGGTGAAGAAAGCAATCCTGAGGTACCGGGGAGAGGGGATCTGGGGTTCAGCCCCGGCCTGGACAGAGTCCCTCACTTTCTTTCCATGCTCTGTGACCAGGATGCTCCCTCTGTAGGGCTCAGGTTCATAGGTTGACGCTCAACCACGGAGCCACGTGGCCAGGCGAGGAGTGGCCTTAGGACAGTGGTTGGCAAACTGCGGCCCCTTGAGTGTGGCCCTTCCACAAAATACCACGTGTGGGTGAGCACGTACAGTGCGATTGAAACTTCGTGGCCACACTCAAGGGGCCAAAGAGCCTCATGTGGCTCGCGAGCTGCAGTTTGCCGACCACTGCCTTAGGATTGTGTAATGCACTTGACCGTGAACGCACCACTCGCTGCTCTGTTCCTGCACCACAAGCTCTGTGGGTGCTGCTTATGAAAACCCCCACCTCATATCTACTGAACACCATCCCATGCGGCCACCAGGCTGGCCCCCTACCTAGACTCCAAGTCCTCAATACATGGGCGGGAAAGGTGTGGCACCGGTTACAGGTGAGGAAAGCAAGCCTGAGGCCCCGGGGAGAAGGGGACCTGGGGTTCTGCCTAGGCTTGGACAGAGTCCCTCACCTCCACCCCCGGGTTTTCTTTCAGAGGGGGGTGAGGGTTCTGCCAGCCTGCTGGGGCAGTGCCAGCACCACCACAGTGCAGATCCCAAAAGCAGTAGCAGGGGGCGCAGGCGACCTGGCCCTGAACCCTCAAATTCTATGCAAACAAATCGTGCTGGTGTGGCTCAGCGGGTGGAGCGGTAGATTCCTAGTCCCAGGATGGACTCCGGTCAAGGGATGTACCTCATTGCAGGTTCGAGCTGGCCTTGGTTGGGACGCCTGCGGGAGGCAACAAGTGGATGAGCCTCTCTCACATTGATGATTCTCTGTCTCGCCATCCCCCCTCCACTCTCTCTAAAAGGCAGTGGAAAAAAACATCCTCAGGTGAGGATTAACAACAACACAGAATCAGAGTAGGCGCAGACCTTAGAGAGCAGGTAGGCAGGGATGGGGGGAGGCAGAGGGGAAGGGGTGCAGGAGAGTAGAAGGGTGAGGGGAGGGGGAAAGGGAAAAAAGGGAGGAGAGGAGGGGAGGAGAGCGGGCAGTGCCCCTTTAGAGCTCCCCTGTGAGGCTCCAGGCCAGTGGCTGTGGGCAGGCAGGGCCCGGATGGAACCTCCTCCTGTTTGTATTCCTGTTGGTCCCATGGACACCAGGCAACGGGACCTGGGAACGGGGAAGCCGAGTGAGCAGAGGGTGGGCCGGGACACTGGTGGCCGGCACCTTGCAGAGGGACAGTACGGAAGGATGGCCGTGGATTCGGTCCCTGCGCTCCCACCCCCATCCCACCCCCTGCCATGGGCCCTACAGAGGGAGCATCCTGGTCACAGTGTATGGGCGCCCCAGCTCAGTGAAGACCGCCTGTGCTGGGCTACCAGGCGAGCCTCCTGCCCCAGGGGAGCCCCCTGCCCGCCCTGCCTCACCTCCAGGAAGCCCGGGAGCTCCTTCTCCAGCAGCACCCTCAGCTCCTCCTTGCTCAGACTCCGCCCGCTGCTGTGCGTCCCTGCGTAGCAGGCAAACACCTGAACGATCATGACAATGGCGGCCTTCAGGTTAGGCACGGGAGCCTCAGCCACGGGAGCCTCAGCAACGGGTGCCTCAGCCTCGGGTGCCTCAGCCACAGGTCCGAAAGCCCCAGATGCCTCAGCCACGGGTCCGTAAGCCATGGGTGCCTGAGTGATGGGTTCCTCTTGGAGGCTGCAGTGGCTGGAGAATGGCCCACCAAGGCCCCTGGTGCCTTTTATAAAAGGACCCGGCTCCATACTGATGCGGAGGGAGGGACAGGCAGGGCTGGGACCCCCTATTTAAGGCAGGAGGCTCTCCCCCTTTTATCGCCAGGCACGCAGCGAGATCCCCCAATTCCCTGTGGGGAACGACTACCAAGGAGGCCTCCAGTCTCTGTCCCAGGTCCCAGGGAGGTGGAGGAGACTCCACCCAAAACTTTCAATTTGGAAACCGGGCCACCTGGACTCCCGAGAGAGGTAAGGAAGACTGGTCGCTAATCTGGAATTGGGACATCCCATGGAAGGACCTATATGGAGGGCTGGATGCAGTGGTACTCCTGGTCCTGACCTGCAGCCACAATGGTGGCCGGGGTCTCTGGTTTGTGTGGCTTTAGGCTGCACCGGGTTTGTTATCTGGTGTTTGTTGTCTTTGTTCTTTGTTGTCTTTGTCTTTGTCAAAATGGGTTAAGGTCAGTCGTCTTCGTCGACTCCCTATCAATCAGGCCCACTCCAAGTGAGTGGAAGGGGAGCTTGATCACTCCCGGGAAGCCATAGAGCTCCCTTAGGCAATTAGTCAGAAATTGGTTGGCTTGCTGAAACTCTGAGTAAACATTTGGTAGAAGTCAAAAACTCGGACTGTCTGGTGTATGAATGTAAGTGTGAGAGTCTGTGTGAAGCAAAAGCTCCTTTGTGCTGTCTGGCTATACACATAAGTGTATTTGTTATCTCTTTCTGTTGTTTGTTTAAAGATAAGGCAAACCCTGCTTTAAGGGGAAGACAGTCGAGAACTTTTAATTGCTTTGCTCTGATGTATAATTTTGCTGTGTTAGGTTAAAATTTTAGAAGTCTACGGTTAATTTAAAGGTATAAGGTTGCAAGTCTACAGTTAATTTAAAGGTATAAGGTTGCAACCCAAAGAAGTTTAACAAAGGCTTGTTAGGTTAAGATTAGTACATTTTCTCATAGCCTGTGTAGGGTGAGGGAGAGGGACTGCTGGATTTTTATCATGTAGTCCCGATTCCTGTGATCTGCCTGCCCTTCCTGATAGATTTACAGTAGGTCTCTGTCAGGGACAGCATCCGCTCTGATGGGGGGAGGAAGAGAGCTGAAAACTGCTCCTGAGCAGGTGTGAGATGGGGTAGTGGCAGTAGGATTCACTAGATAGGGTAGTAGGCTCTCAGCCTGATGAGATGGAGGAGCCTTAGGCTGGAGGACAGAGGGCTAGTCAGAGAGATCAGAAGTAGTAAAGGAGGCGAAGGATTGAGTCTCTGGGGCTTAAAGAAGGAAAAATCTAGGAGGGAGAGCAGCTAAGGACAAAGTAAATGGTTAATACAGAA